TGGTCTCAGAATTCTTCTGTCATCTGTGTGTATAACTTATTGGGTTGTATCAGCTATTCAGCATATTCGAACAGTTCCCGGTTCAGCCGCTAGAGGTCAGTATTAACTCGCAGATGCCATGCAGTATTACACTCCAGGCAAGGCTTGAGATGCCATTTAAATGTTACATTTTGCCACTGTTTCCAAAGGCTTTCAACATTAACCTTTCTGTATTGTCATCCTCACATCTTTCTATATGTTGCATAATCATATATACGACTGCACAGAAACAGATAATGATATAACTCCAATACCATCAGTTTACTAATGGTCCTCTGCCTGTACTAAAGTAGTGCAGCCTTAAGTACAACTCACCCATTACTGTGAAATATGAATTAGTTCTTTAATTTATTGATTCACTTTCATTGCTTTGAAACATTTCACTCTATCCAGAAAGCCAGGAGCTTGAACACAGCACAGTATAATTTTATTGTATGTGATCTAATTTGTGGCATAGAGAAACAGCAGGGAATGGGCTGACCCAAGGCTATTCTGTGTGGGGGGTTTTTAGGAAGAATATTCACACAAGCATCCTCTGTGGTCATCGTGCAGACTAAATTAGATTTAGATATATTTGTATTTAATGAATAAATGGCTTCGATTTGCAGCAAAGTAGTAAAAATTATCTGTTTTTTTTTCCTGTACAAAAGTAAATTCCCAACACCCCCCTCCTTAACCACCACCACCACCAACACTTCCACCACCACCACCTCCACCTCTTCCTCCCTCTCTGTGATGGGTTTCCTTTTTACGATTGTAGCACTGCAAAGGAATAAAACCCCTAAATGTTCTATTTCATAAAGGAGTCTTTGTTTTTAAGGGTGTCTTCGTAACTATAGCCTAATTAAAGGAGAACTCCAGGATTATTCAAATTAACCCTTGCAGTGGGGCTAATTGCACATTTTGGTCTAGGAGTGAAAATATAGAAGATATACCTGATTCTTGGCCCTACGACAGTGACTGCTTACCTCTCTCCCTCCGTTCTGGCTGTGGAATGCCCCTTGTCATTCTCTTGTATAACGGGCCTGCATTAGATGTCCTAAGACCTCTGGAGCCTAAAGAGAAAAGGCTGTGGGTACCAGTCTAGCAGCCAGGTGGGACTGAGGATCAAGTGAGTATATATTCTTTATTTTTGCTCCTAGATCAAACTGTGCACTTAACCCTTGCAGTGCAAACCCCACTGCAAGGATTATTTGAATAAATACTGGAGTTCTTTAAGTTTTATTGCTTTGTTTGCTTAGTTTTACCAGGTTATTCTGCAAGTCCTGCCACCTTGCTGTTGTATTGTGACTGCACTAAGCACGGAAACAGGTCTGTGATGGCATGGTCATGCATCTTTCTGTTTGCTGATAGAAGCCACTGGCGGAACTACCAGGGTCGCAGCAGTCGCAATTGCGACCGGGCCCTGGCGTTCGGCCACTTGGGGGGGGCCCAGCGAGGAAGAAGAGGGCCCCCCCTCCAGAGAGTTGCCGCTACATCCCTGCACAGCCACCCGTAGCCTGTACGGGCAGCTGTACGGCAGGGATGCATTGCCGTCCGCACGCACTCAGACCGGCACAGTTCCTTGCGGCCTCGGCTGCAAGGAACTGTGCCCGTCTGAGCTGCTTCTCTCCTATCTGCCTCTTAGCTCCAGAGTCTCAGAGAGAGCAGAGTGATCTCTCTGAGACTTCGAAGTGATGAGTCATTCGGAGGCGGGGCGTGCTGCGTGTAGGAGTCCTGGCCGGGCTGAGTAGGCTGCAGGTAAGATAGTGTGCAGACAGTGTTCATTCTCCCCCCCCCTCTTGGGGGGGGGCCCCTCAATGGTTTCTTGCACCGGGGCCCTGGGGTTTCTAGTTACGCCTCTGATTGGAGCTACAGGATGCCGTGGCAACACATGGCATGCCTGTAGCCCCATAATCAGATTTGCCGCCAAGCCCCATACCTCTTCTACTTCTTGCTTCATACCTCTTCTCTCTTCTGCTTCATTAAGTAACGCTGGGGAAAACAGCTGATCCTCTTAGCAAGACTCCGCCCCCCGCATCACCAGCCCTGGAAAATTGACTGAATAGCGGTCCCGTGACTGCTTTGTAAAAGTTAATCTACACAGTATTTGATGGAATTTTTTACTTTAAACACACCTATAACTGTTTGGAATAATGACAGCAAGAGGTGAGAGGAAATCCTCCAATGGGAATACATGTTCTGCTGACAACTGTTTAAGACAGGGGTCCCCAAACTCTTCAGCTCATCAACCCCTTATGAAGTATCAGATTTTTCATCAACCCCCTAAAATATACTTTATGATAATAATTTAAAAACTGCTAGTAAAAATAATAGTACTACAAATAATAATAATAATAATAATAATACAATTCTATTATGCAATAAATGCATACACGCAATAGGTTGAACTTGATGGACATGTGTCTTTATTCAACCTCAAATACTATGTAACTATGTAACTATGTAACTATGTAACTATATTATATTCAATAAATAACAACAATAATAATTAAATTCTTGATACTATTGTAGTCACTTCCTCCTGGTATAAGCAGCTGCTTATGTGGTTATTACATTTAGTTTATTACTAATTAACTATCCAACAAAGTTTGAGGTAGGTGTACTCACTGACTCTCTAAAGGAGTTTGATGTAAGCATGCTCACTGGCTCTTCAACAAAGTTTGAGGTGGGTGTACTCAATGACTCTCTAATGGAGTTTGAGGTGGGTGTACTCATTAGCTCTCCAACATAGTTTGAGGTGGGTGTACTCACTGGCTCTCCAACAGAGTTTGAGGTAGATGCACTCGCTGGCTCTCCAATTAAGTTTGAG